CCCACGGTGCCCGGCTGCCATGGGAGCCCTGCTGGGAGTCTGGGTGGGGCTGCAGCCTGCCCCGCCTGCCTGCCTCAGCAGACCCCCAGCAGGACTGAGGGGCGCCTGCCCAGAGCCCTGGCCGGCCCCTGCTGTCCCCATCCCCTGCACTGGGTGTGAGTTCTGGCTCTGGTCGTCCTGGGCGTGGCTGCCTGTGGCTTTCCAGCCGTGTGGAGAGCAGGGAAGGCGTGGCGTCCCCACCACCCTGCTGGCTGGGTGAGGCAGTGCCCAGCTCTGTGGGTGCCAAGCACAGGCAGCCCGTCCCTGCCCGGCCCGCTGTGGCTGGCACCATCTGGCGCTCCCTCAGAGCTCTCCCCGAGGCGGCCAACTGCTCCTGCTCCTGGCTCCCGCCGTTGGAGCCGCGCAGACGGAACTGGCAGACGGCAGACGTGAAAATATTTTGAGACGTTTGCACACAGAGAAAACGAACCCTCACAGTCAGGGCCGCGCCAGGGAACCCGCTCCATCGTGTGAGCCAGAGCAGCGTGGCCGCCAGCGCCAGCCGGGCCGTGGGTGGCCGACAGTGCCCCAGGTGCCTCCGCCCCACCCCGCACCTAGCATGACTGACACCTGAGCCTCCCCTGGGAAACCGGCCTCAGCGTCCTGCCCCACCCTGCCAGGCCCTGGGCTTGACCCGCCTCTGAGCGCACCTTCCGATGCTCCCCTTGCTGAGTGGTCTGCGGGCACCAGCTAGGCCCGGACGGAGCCGGGCAGGAGTGTGGCAAGGCCAGGGACAGGAGGCTCGGGAAGCGTCTCGTCTCAGCATTCACCTGGTCGGGCGGATGCCTTGGTCTTTGCCATAGGGTGTGCGCACTTGCCAGAGAGGGACGGAGAGAGCGAGTGCACGCCTGGGGCCGCCACAGTCCCCCCTGCAGCCTCCTTGTGCACACGCCTGGTGTGCGTTTCAAGCCCCGGGGTCCAGGATTTGCGCTGCGGTCGGCCATGTGGGAGTCCAGCTCCTTTTCACCACACCACTGGCCGGCCCCCTGAAAACGGTTCCTTGCCAGAGGGGTTAGGTGCATAACAATGGGGAGGAAGCACCCCCAGCCGGCCTCTCCCAGGCCCCCAGGGCCAGGTCTTGAACTCCATCGGGGTTGCCCTCCCACGTGCTGCAGGGCCTGCCCAGGTTGGTCCCGAGCGAGTGCAGCACGTCTTGGAGGGAAGGCCGGGGCCTCCGGAGACGTGTAGCCCTCAGTGCAGGGGGCAAGCAGTGCAGGCCGGAAGCTGGGGAGACTGCTGTGGGGGCGGGGGCCAAGCACCGTGGGCCACGAGGCCCTGGCGTGCCCACCTCTCACCCCGGCGCCCCCGTGATGGGCCCTCAGAGCGGGAGGCTTGCCCCAGCCCGCAGAGGTGTGATGAGTGGGGCCCCTTGGGGTCCTCGGCCAGGGAGGGGTGCAGCTGGTGAGGCCAGGCACAGACCCCGCGTTCTGGCCAAGCTGCCGCTGTGCCGTGCCGCGCTTGCCTTGCAGGTGGGCCTGGGTCCTGCAGGACGCCCTGGGCATCGCCTTCTGCCTCTACATGCTCAAGACCATCCGCCTCCCCACGTTCAAGGTGAGGCCGGCAAGGAGGGCCGCTTTCCCGTCCGGGAGGGCAGCAGGCCCCCCGCAGCCGGGCCAGGGCAGGCCGTGTCCTCTAGGCCTCTGTCGTCAGGACCCTGGCACGTGCCCCTGGGGCGCGGGTCTGGGGCCAACGCCTCAGGACGGGGTAGGGGAGGGGGTCGTCCCGCTGCCCCCGTCTGCCCCGCCGGCCTCTGCCCTCTGCCCTCTCCGGGCCCCAGCCCAGTGGCTT